GAGAGAGAGAGAGAGAGAGAGAGAGAGAGAGAGAGAGAGAGAGAGAGAGAGAGAGAGAAAGCCTTCTACTATTTCTTTCGCTTTCTTGTCTATTCCCTTTCCCTCTTACGCCCCAGCGTCGGAAACGTCGCAGGTGTGCCGGAATTGTGTGTTCCTCATTTTGTTCGCAAATTTTTACCGAACGCAACGGCGATCGCCGGCTCTCTCGGCGCGTTGCGTAACGCGCCGTCGTCGCTCATAGCCCGAGACAATCGAGAAATTGGACGATGCACAGGCGATGTGTGAGCATGTAAGTTGGCGAATGTCGCTCTGGTGGGTCGTACAAGGCTCACACAAAGCGAAGATGTAATCCCGAAGAATACATAAAACTTACGCTACTATTATAGTCATCACGAAAGTTTCAGAGAAACTCTAACAAAAAAAGAAGACGTAATAATGATAATAGTAACTTGTCCTTAGGTAACTCGACACGTAATGCTTTCGCCTGGAACACGAATGGATGATGGTAATATGACGGATGACGGACATTCGAATTAATCCGACAGTGCCATGTGGCCGGCCGTGAAGTGCGGGGTTCTTAAATTTGAATTCCACAATCTCGGCGATCGCTGGCGCGTACTTTCTTCGAGGAAGATTTTAGCGGTGCCCGCGAAACGCCCCTCGAGTCTTGCAGGACACGTAATTTCTATCGATACACTCGATTCAGCGCGAAATTAGCCGCTACGAGTCGGAAGAGAGACTCCTTGGCATCTTTCTCGCATAACTCGCGCGAAAATCGCGCGCGTATGCACGCGCCTCGTTACGGCGCTCGGGGGAACGGAACTTGCACGTGCTTTTGCGTGCACACGTACCGAAACATATCTTCCGTAATTAATCTGTGATAAACTGTGATAAACCGAGCTGGCCATGCGCATACTACGACTACCGATTCAATTGTGACAAAACTCAGCGCGAGACGATGCGTGCGTGAAACGCGACGGCGCGACGATTAGACTTTCTCCGCGTGTCACGGACACCGCATCGCGTTCGGATGGTCGGTTAATTAAAAAATAAAATTCGCAATGCGCAAAGGAAGTTGTGGAGGTATCGCAACACGCCGACGATAAGACGGTCGATGGCGCGATCGTATAAGAGACGACGTGAAAATTTGCGTTTCGACACATCATAATAACTTCCACGCGGGGAGTAATTAACGAGTTGTTGCAGTTTCCCGAAAAGCCCCTTTCCGCGTCGAGCTTCACCCAAGCGCACACATTGTATAAAAGGATTCAGCCGAGGGAAGTAACAGGCAATTAAGAGCCAAAAAGTTGCTCACGTAATTAACTAATATTCTTCTTGCAAATATTTAAGTCGCAATGTGAAAGTACAAATCAACAAGAGAACGGCTCTAATGATATACGATTGCAAATAATTTCAAAAATTGGAAATTCAAACAAAAACGAAAAAGCTATTCCCTCAACTAGATAACAAATAGATAACCGCTATCTGGCTATCAGTGTAAGGGTGCGTTTTACGAAACCATCCCCCGCCAAGCTTCATCCAAATGCACAAATTGCACAAAAAATGTAAGTCATGGAAAATAATAAGTAATTAAGAGTCAGAAATCCGTTTTTGTAACTGAGTAATATTTTTCTCTCAAATATATAGATTCGCAACATAAAAGTACAAATCAAAATAAGAGCTTTAATAATATACTATCACAAATAATTTAATAGGTTGAAAATTCGGGCAAAAACAAGAGTCAAAACAAGCTGATTTTAGAGCTCCAAAATTAGTTTGTTTTGGCTCTTGTGCTCTTGCCTCACTTTTCAATCTTTTGAATTATTCACGAAAGTCTTAACAATGTCATGAGTATAAGAATATCTTACTTAGCTAGGAAAACAGCTTTTGACTCTTAATTTCCATGACTTACTTCTTTCATTTTATTGCATTCTTTTATTAGAGTTTTTTCTTTTTATTTGTTTCGATTGCATACATATCGAAATTAGTAATTAACCGGCGTGCAGAAGAGAGAGAGAGAGAGAGAGAGAGAGAGAGAGAGAGAGAGAGA